GCCGGATGTGGGGCTCGATCCGAGGCCCCGGGATCATGACCTGAGCCCAAAGGCAGACACTTAACCGACTGAGCCACCCATGTGCCCCAGCCCTTTCTACGCTTAAATCCAAATCACATCTTTAGTGTATCAGAAATAAGACCAGACCAACACTGTCTAGGACCTTTAGTCCCAGCATCATAACACCTGTACCAAAGGACTGTCTCACCATTTCAGTCAACCTCGTTACCTTTGAGCACTGATCTAAAAGCACACTTCTCCCTTGTCTTCATGTTTCTGGCCTTTCCTACTCCCATCCCCTTCTACTCCTTTGCATTTTTTTTTTTTTTTAAGTAATCTTAAAAGCTTTTTAAGTGGCTTAAAAGCCACTGTGGGGCTTGAACTCATGACCCTGAGATCAAGAGTCCCATGCTCTACCGACTGTGCCAGCCAGGTGCTCCTCCTTCATACTTTCTTATTCCTAGTTCTGCCATAATAGACTCCACCTCCCAGTCCTTCCCTATACCCTCAACTTTTCCACAAAATCCTTTCTAAAATAAACCTGGCTCTGCCCTGAGGGCAGTGCTAATCTCTGCCACCCTCCCCACTAAACACCCCTCCACCCAACTCCCCACCTCAGGGATTTGAGGGGGTGGAACTGCAGGAACTGGCATCGTCAGGGCTTGCTTCTGCTAGATCCAAGCTGTAACTCTCTCTTTATATAGAAGGCCTTATCCTTTGGGACTCCTGACATCTTTGCCCTATAGCCATCTAGCCACTGTTGTCTACTGGCTTTTTAAAATCACTCTTCTCATATTCATTAAGGACTTTGAGAAACCTGGTTCCCAGCATCTGTCTCTATCCCAACTTCTGCCATGATTCCAGAAGATTCTACATAAATTCTAAGAAGATTTATGTATATGACCAATTTATCAATTTATTCTTCAAATACCTGGAACTCCTTAACTCAGCATATCTTCCTTTCAACTGTATTTTTGCTACCCACTCCCAGGGTCACACACTGGCCTCCATCTAATTTCTTAATGGCTCCAATTTCTCTCAGTCCACCGGGCCCCTCATGGCATTTCTTCCTTTCTAACTCAGCCTGGACTTCATGGCTAAATATCTGAGCTATTTTTCAATGAGCAATCTGGTCCCTTGCACTACTGGTCTTTTACAGTACTTGTCAGTTAAAAATCCCACTCTGGCCCAAAGATCTATTCTTAAATCCAAAAGACTAAACACTATCGGAGATAAATCACACAGCTGTACGGACATCTCTATAAGTTCATGTTCTCCAACCTGGCAAGGCCAACAGTATTCATTAGTCAATTTCCCTTATCTAGGTCCATATTTGTCTTTACTTGCTTTCCTCCAGTCTCAGAAAATGAAGTATCTCTGTCTATTCCAAGTCAATCTGTCAACATTTTCTAGAGCAAAGTAATCAATCCAGCAGGACAGCCCACTCAGCTTTGCTTGCTTCAGCATTCTCAGATTGCAAGGAGGAGCAATTCATAACCAAACCACTTAGACTGCCTTCACAATTGGAATACAAGGACAGAAAGTGGGTTTTATTCATCTGTGAGAAGTATACAGCAGTAGTTAGAATACAAGTTTTTAATCATACTGACCTGGACTTGAATCCTGATTTTACTTATTAACCATCACCTTACCCATGTTTTCTTAACTTCTAGTCCTGTTTTCCATGTTTGTAAGAAGGGGATAAAAATAATAATATCCAACTAGTCACATTGTTATAGGAATTAAGCGAGCAATTTTGTGTACAGCTGCTAGTTTCTCAAACATTTGCTAAATAGTGCAAAAGTAGTAGGTCCTGCCCAACTACAGTTGTGAGGACTTAATGAGATAGTATAAAACACAAAAGCTCTTGTAAACCATCACAAGCAATGAACATATTAACTGTGATCCTGACAATAGCAGTTTAGAGATAAGCAAATGCAATTAAAGAAATGACAGAATGTTAGAGCTGGGGGGCAGTGCAAGCAGTTGGCCAAGTAGAACGGGTGAAAAAAAAGGGACTTTCATTTAATATGTGCCGTGAAAATTTCTTCCCCCCAAAAAATATTTGTTATTATAAAATTTTAAAATGAATGCAACTTTTAAAAAGAGGAAAAGTGAAATAAAATCAAGACAATCCATCCATTTTTGGCTTTCACCCACTTTTCTCCACTCTGCTCAGAGACATTTCAATCATCTTTCTCTTGTCTCCAAATCTATTCAAATCTTTTATATTCTTAAGGAAACAACACAAAACAAAAACTCTTTAAATTTTCTACCCCATTGGCTTCTGGGAGTATTTTTGTGTACTCCTTTCTTTTGCAAGACCTTTAAATGTTGATAGGTCACGGAGTGTTATCCTCAGGCCACTACTCTCCTGGTCTACACGCTCTGCGGATAGCTCAGTTACTTTTTTACTTTTATAAATTTAACTACAATATAAATGCTGATAACCTCCAAATCTATTTCTATAGTGCTGGCTTCTCCTCTGGGTTCAAACTTGCTGGACAGTGTCACCCAGACTGGCCCAGAGACATATTCAACTCAACATATTAAAAACTGAACTTAACCTCCATTCTCTCCTGACTGGCCCCTCATCTTGTATTCTCTAATTTAGCTGGTGGCATCACGCAATCAATCATTCAAACTAGAAACTGGGAACTCCTTCCTCTTACTCCCCAAAAATCAATCAAGAAGTTCTGCCTATTTTACCTCTTAAATATTTCTCATGTTTCCCTCCCCTCCACCCCTGCAACAACACCTAAAACAAGGCCAGTTCAAGGCCTTTGTCATGTTTTCTGCAACACATTCTTCCCCTCACCTTACAGAATAAAATCTAAAAAAATGCAGGCGCCCCAAAAAAACACAGATTCTTAAATAGAATGAGTAAACTGGTAGCTGCCAGAGGGAAGGTGGGCAGGGGGGTGGGTGAAATAGGTGAAGGTGATTAAAAATAAACTTATCATCATGAGCACTGAGTAACATAGAAATGTTGAATAGTTATATTGTACACCTGACACTAATATAACACTGTATGTTAATTATACTTGAATTAAAAAATAAGTTAAAAAAAAAATCTTAACCAAGCATACGTGGCCCCTGATGATTTTTCTAAGTTCATTTGTCATTACTCGTAGCCTCAAATTTTATGTTTTAGCAAAAAATAAACCACACATAGTTCCTGACCTATATATCACACTATTTCTTGTCTCTTGAGCTTTTGTTCATATTGTCTCCACTACTTGAAATGAATGCCTTTCTTTCCCCTTTCTCTTAAAATTCCTACTTATCATTAAGAGGAGCTCAGGGGCTACATTCTCTATGAAGCTTTTTCTGAACCTACCTTCCTCCCTTTAAAGGTAGGTGCCCCTCTTCTGTATTCTCATTTTACCTTGTTCTTTTCTATGTATTGTACTTCCCACACAGTATTATAACTATTTGTATATGTCTGTCTCCTCCACTGATCTTTGTAGCTCAGAGCCTAGCCTATAGTCTGGTAAATAGCAAGCAATCAATAGATGTTTGTTTATTTAATGGTTGAATAAATGGAGAGGAAGGGAGGGAAGGAGCAAGGGAGAGAGGGAAGGGAAGAAAGAGGAGGAAGGATCATGTAGGGCTTTAATGTTGGAAGTAAGAGAAACCAACCTGTCAGCCCCAGGCCTCTGACCTTCAGAAAAACTGTCACTTCAGCTCAACCCCACATATCAATCCCTGGTGTAACAGACAGGAGAAAAGACCAAGAAAGAACACAGGAAAGATAAGAAAAGAAAAATATAGACATGTGGTAGACAGGTAATGGAAACCTTCCACCCCCCAAAAGATGTCCATATCCTAATCCTCAGAACCTATGACATGGCAGGAAGGATTCCACAGATGTGCCTAAATTAAGGTCTTGAGGTAAGAGATTATGCAAATGAGACTAATGTAATCACAAGAATCCTTCTAAAAGAAAGAGGGAAGCAGAAGAGTCAGAGTCAGAGAAGGAGATGGGATTATGGAAGCAGAGGTTAGAGAGATGCAATTGCTGGCTGGAGGCCACAAGCCAAGGAATATAGGCAGCCTAAAAACTAGAAAATGAAAGGAAATAGATTCTTCCCTACAGGCTGTAGAAGGAACACAACTGATACCTTGATTTTAGCCCAGTGAAACCCATTTTGAACTTCTGACTTCTAAAACTGTCAGATAGTAAATCTGTGATATTTTAAGCCACTAAGTTTATGGTAGATTTTTATGGCAACAATAGAAAAATAATATACAATGTTATATAATGAAATATAATAAGTAACATCTACAACTGCCTCAAAATATGAATTCAAATTTCCATTCATAATGTATCAAAATTCACTGTTTTTGATAATTTTATAAAAATATTCACACACAGAGCAACATGTAAATAAATGAAAGGATTTCCTGGATATAAAATGATAATTTATAAGATAATTTGGTAATCTTTTAAAGATGGAGATGAATAATCAAAGAAACTCTAGCTCCTAAAAAACACATTTTTTTTTTTTTTTAAGAGAGGGAGTTTTTTTTAAGGGGGGTCAGAGGGAGAGGGAGAAAGAGAATCTTAAGCATACTTCACGGTGAGGAGCCCGACACAGGGCTTGATCTCAAAGCCCTGAGATCACGAGCTGAGCCGAAATCAAGAGTCGGACACTCAACTGACTGAGCCACCCAGGCGCCCCTAAAAAACACATTTCTAAGGGAGATATTAGGAAGAACTTATGCTAAATGTAAGGGATTTTAATAAGTAACCCAAAAGATGCCATATATTTCATTTCTGTGACATTTAAATATAAAAACAAATAAAAATAAGAGCCTTGTTATATGATCTGACTTTTTAAATAAGGAAGCCCTGCCTACCTAATTTGCTTATTTGCATTATCTTTCCCCAACAACATACACACAAGCACATACGTCAAGATATCTTGAAGATGTAGTAAGTACTAATGTATACCTAATTTATTATAAATCTCATAGCCAGAGTTCAAACAACTTACTTCCCTTTGTCCTTCAGCCATTCTGGGTTCTTTTCTTCTTCTTTTAAATCAGAAAGTTCAGGAATATCAGTATTCAGTGCTCTTCGTGCCTCTGCTTGTTTGTGTAACCACTGAAATCAGAGAATGAAATCTAATGAAGGACACAAAAGTCTTATTTTTATTAACAGCTACTTTGAGATTTCTCAGCTTCTACCATAAGATGGAAATACCATTTGTTATGGACTGAAACTTTGTGTCTCAAAATTCGTATGATGAAGCCCTTAATCCCCATGTAATGGTATTTGGAAGTAGGACTTTTGGGAGGTAATTAGATTTAGATGAGGCCATGAGGGTGGGGACCCATGATGAGATTAGTGTCCTTCTAAGAAGAGGAAGAGACCAGAGCACAGCTCTCCTTCCAACACTCCCTGTATCCTGATCTTGGACTTTCCAGCCTCCAGAACTTTGAGAAATGTCTGTTGTTTAAGCCACCCAGTCTAGGGTATTTTGTTATAGCAGCCTCAGTAGACTAATATACTATTTGATAATGTGATTTTAAACTTCCAGTTTTTATCCTTTTCAGTTTAACATTACTAGCTGGTAAAGATCAAATTTATAAAATTTCATAGAAATTTCTGGGAGTTCATGTGATTATTATTTTACTTTTCTTGCTTATATTTGTTTTTCTAAAATGAAAAAATATAAATGACTTTTAAATAATTATAATTCTATAATTCTAGAGATAATTTTACAAATAATAAAATTTAGAATATATTGTTTAATAATAAGAAAATAGTTAATACTTTTTTAAGATTTTATTTATTTGAGAGAGAGTGAGAGAAGGAGAGATTATTGAGGGAGAGAGAGAACCAGACTCCCTGCTGAGCAGAGAACCTTATTCGGGGCTCAATCCCAGGACCCTGAGATCATGACCTGACCCGAAGGCAGATGCTTAACGAACTGAGCCACCAAGGTGCCCCCAAAATAGTTAATATTTATAAATTGTCATCATGTCTTAAGGATCTTCGATTACTTCCACAACTTTTCTTTCCTTTTTTTTTCTTTTTAAGATTTATTTATTTATTTGACAGAGAGAGAGAGCACAAGCAGGGGAAGCAGCAGAGGCAGAGGGAGAAGCAGGCTCGCCGCTGAGCAGGGAGCCCGATGCGGGGCTCGATCCCAGGACCCTGGGATCATGACCTGAGCTGAAGGCAGATGCTTCACCGACTGAGCCACCCAGGCGCCCCACTTCCACAGCTTTTCAATTGTGAGAGGCAACAATTAATATCTTGTAGTAAAAAAAATGCAGTTCTTAGTGCCTATATAAGTAAAGATACAACATTCAAAATCCCAGGGCCCAGGAATTTATAAATGAATGAGAGATATTCTAGAATGTCACAATAGAAATACTGGATGATAATAATAATTAGTTGTAATAATATATTAACAATAAATGTCCAAATCTGTCACCAAACACATATTGATCCCTTACCAAAACACAAGTTTACAAATCTAATATAGCAAATGATGCATTTGATAAAATAAGTGGCAAATGTAACAATTTATCTCCTGGAATAAGTAATAATACTGCCTACTAAATCAGGGTTCTCTCATCAGTGTTCTGGAGACAAAAAAAATTCTGCAAAATATATTTTTCTCAAAAAGACATACTAAAATATATTCAAGAAGTACTATCTTAAGTGTAATGAATACTTAAGAAATTCAAAACTCAGTATTAGTTTTAATAGATGAAATAAATAATAAAGTATTTTCATTTGTGATCATTGTAACTAACAGCAAGTATACCTACCTCCTCTTCTTCTGCTACTTGTGATTCTCGGAGAGCAGTTGGAAATACTCGAGGGGTAAAGTTGATTTTAATACTGCCAACAGAGCGAGGAGCAGGAATACTGTCTTCCTTTAACTTCTCCAAAAATATATTTTCTGAATTTCTTCCTTGAAAAGCAATATTAGCAAGTGAGTTATCTTTCTCTCATTTTCTAGATAACAATCAAACTGACTTTTAAAGTAATTACACATCAAAGCTACCTCTAAAATCCTATACAAATAAACCAAAGATAACTTCTGCTAGAAGGAATATAAAATCCATCATTGAAAGTGTGGCAGCTAGTTATTTCTTCTTTAATCAAAGACCCCAGCTACTTTTCTATGATTCTCTTTGTTAAAACACAGTGTTTAATTTACATTCACTCTAGTGAAGGGCACTCTGAGCAACTCTACATCCACTTTATTTTTTTTTTTAAGATTTTATTTATTTATTTGACAGAGAGAGAGAGCAAGAGCAGGAACACAAGCAAGGAGAGTGCGAGAAGGAGAAGCAGGCTTCCTGCGGAGCAGGGAGCCCGATGCGGGGCTTGATCCCAGGACCCTGGGATCATGACCAGAGCCGAAGGCAGACGGCTTAATGACTGAGCCACCCAGGTGCCCCTCTACATCCACTTTAGAAAGCCATCACTACCAATACTACCTCTATTTCCTTTAAGCTCCTACAGCAATATCTTCTATAAGCTTCCTTGTGATGGTATAAAAATTTTTCAGCCATCAGAGATAGCTAATGAGAATAGGCAAAGAGTAATAATGAAAAGCTATACATTTTTAGAAAGATAGTCTGATGTAATAATGGTTAAGCCAATATAAGAGGAGAAATTAATCTGTTAGAATATAAACTATATGAATAAAAGGAAGGAAAGGTAAGTTTAAAAAATGCAAAAGTACAAAAAATATGATACACAGATTTAAAAGGCAATATCAAAACTTTTTTTTTTTTAAAGAATTTTATTTATTTATTTGACAGAGAGAGAGAGACAGCGAGAGAGGGAACACAAGCAAAGGGAGTGTGAGAGGGAGAAGCAGGCTTCCCGTGGGGCGAGGAGCCTGATGCGGGGCTCGATCCCAGGACCCTGGGATCATGACCTGAGCCGGAGGCAGACGCTTAACGACTGAGCCACCCAGGTGCCCCCAATATCAAAACTTTTAAGAAAAATAGATTTTCCACAAATACAAAGAGTAATATCCTTGATATAAAATGAATGCACACAAATAAGAAAAAAACTTCTAAATTAAAAAATTTGAAAATGGCCTACATTGACATTTCCAAGAGAGGGAAGAGGGGGACAAGGAGGAAAAAATAAGGGCTCAAACAAACAAGAAAATTTGAGTGCAAATTTTCTAGATGTCTGTGGTTGAGACATCTATCTTCCAATATTCTATCCATTCTCCCCTATTCCTTTTAGGGATATAATTTTAGTTCTAAGCTGGGCATATGACTGTGTCAGGCTAGAATCTACATAACCCAGCCTCCCTTGAGATTAGATGTGATTATATGCCAAATCTGAGACAACAAAATGTGAATAGAAGTGATGTATACAATGGATCATTTTATAGGTACATCTGCTTTCTGTGGACTCCTCTTTCCTCCTTCCCACAGGCTAAAACACAATGCCAACCTCTGCATCCAGAGATGGAAGCCAAATGATGTAATGACAGAGATGGTCCTGCCTGCCTGGATGGCCTTGTGGAACAAAGTCACCTATCAGGCCTACATTGATCACTGTCACATAACAAGTATTGGATTATGGAGAACTAAATTTCTGTCTTATTTGATCTGTAATTTTGGTCTCCTTATTATAACAATTAGCTTTAACCTACCAAATAAAATGTTCCAAGAATTTTATATCCAAGTAAATTGTTGTTTACTTATAAAGGCAAAAGACATTCCTAGATATCTAAGAACTAAGTAAATATACTACCTAGCCATCTTTTCCAAATAAATTAATCAAAGAAATGTTCCAGAACATGGAGAAATGAAATTAAGAACCCAAGAGTGGAGAATTTAAGGGTAAAAATGAAAAGAATTGGTTTTCTACACAGTGGAGAACACACTAAAAATGTGAATAAGATTCTTAAATGTTAGTATAACAGAAGGAAAACAATAAAAAGTAAAAATGAAGTATATAACTTCAAATTATAATACTAATGATTACTAGGATATAGAACATGAAGGGAATAAGCACTATTTTCCATAATGAGAAATTAAAAATTTATTTTCTTGGGCACCTGGGTGGCTCAGTCGGTTAAGCGTCTGCCTTTGGCTCAGGTCATGACCTCAGGGTCCTGGGATCAAGTCCTGCGCTGGGCTCCCTGCTCAGGGTGGAGTCTGCTTCTCCCCTCACTCTCCCTCTCTCTCTCTCTCTCAAATAAATAAATAAAATCTTTAAAAAATTTTTATTTTATCAATTTTGCTAAAATAAGTAAACATCTTTAAATATTCATGAAAACATTAATGTGACCATTAGTTACATTAAAAATAGGCTATTTAGCTTCCAAACTCTTACTGTAAAATAAGACAAGTAGTAAAACATAAAATAAAAAGAAATTAGCTTTCTGTCTCTAGAAGCATAAGGTTAAAGTTTTTAAAACTTTTTACAAACAATGTCCAGCTAAAATGCTATAAACACATAAAATGCTTGATAAAAATGTAACAAATAAATAAAGGTTCAAATATACAGTTTAGTTTAAAAAGTAAGCAAAGAAAAAGTCTTATCAGTGATTTACAGTTGGGGTAATCCAAAAGCTGACAAAGAGCTGTTTAGAAAGATATTTATATCTATATCTGAAATACATATATAAAGGCTAAAGGCTGGAAATTTAATGCTGATATAGTTACAGAGGTGGGAAGCTGGAAATGAAACTAGAAGCTTAGAAGGGCTGCTCTCTTAGTGAAAAGAACATTTATAAAATCACTGTCCACTGGTCCAGGAAAGTGAAGCCTATTCTTCCTGGGGTTTTGGACAGGAGGAGAAAAAAATATCTCTTGTGAGAAATCAAAACTCTAGGTATCCCTTGTGAGCAATTCTTACTTCCACAAACCAGAACACCTGAGATTTTTTTATATGCACCCATAAAAAAAAAAAAATCCTTGCTGAAAATGAACACACAATCAATAACTACAAATCACATGAGAAAATAATCCAGTATAAAGGACAGTTAGCAGACACAACAAACAGGAGGTATGGCTTCTTATAGAACAATCTGAAAGAGATTAAAATAATTTTAAACATGTTTATTAAGAGCAAAGACAAGATAAATCCATAATGAAAAATGAAGAAACTAATGACAAAAGAATGAACAACAACAACAGAAAAAACAAATGGAACTTCAAAAATGAAAAAATACTGCCACTGAAATTTAAAAGGATAAGTTTAACAGCAAACTAGAAGAGATCTGAGGATAATATATAGAATGTGGTCAAGAAATATAGAGAAAAGAGGAAGGTGATATTTCAAGACAATAGCTTAAAGGTCCACAGAACTTTACTGAAGACATAAGTTCTTTGAATAAAAGTATATTCCAAGTTCTGATATTATGAAACAAATAAGTATAAAACTTCATAGAGACTAATAAAATCAAAGTACATTAAAGTGAAGAATTTTAAAGTCACCAGAGACAAAGAATGGATTACCTTATAAAGTTTCAATAGTTAGATCAAGAGCAGACTTCTCAGCAACATTAGAGGGCAAAAGGCAATAGAAAAATATCTTCAAATTACTGATGGAAAATAACTATCAATGTGGAATTCTACAACCAGCCAAACCACCCTTCAACAAGTATAATATAAAGATAATAACTGAACTCAACACCCACAAATCTTCATTAAAGAACTACTAAAGGATTTACTTGTAAAGGGAAGGCAATTTAACCCACAAAGAAGTCAAACATAACAAGCAAAGACAAATTAAAAATCAGTAAATATACATCAATCTAAATAGTAATGACTATATAGTGGGAAAAAAGCCCATACTAACAAGTGATGCCTAAATTTAGGGATTTAAAAATAAAATGAAGTCAACTGATCTCCTTTCCCACCAATAAAGTGGACTAAAATGTTTAGACAATTTCATAGAAGATGGGTATCGCTGGAACTTATGTACTAAATTTCCTTGTAATATTTACAAGAATGATAGAGATTAACCTTAATGTTTAATATGCATGTTAAAATATAGTAATTCGAATTATATCTATGTACCAAAACAGATACAAAAAATTTAACTTTAATCAAAGAACAAAAATAGAATACAGACTTTTCAAATTAGTAGAAAGAAAATAATCAAGAACATTTTTTAAATCCAAGGCAGAAAAATAGAAAAAAGAACCAAAAAGAAAGTCTAGTAAATATAAATCACAAAGTAAGATAGTAGAAGAAAATCTTAAGACATCAGGATACATTTTATTTATAATAATAAATCTAAGTGGCCCATAGCTTATTAAAAGAATAAAATAAGCACAAATACACCCCATAAACCACAATCTATAAACACACCTGTAACATAATGATACAGGAAATTTTAAATATGAGAACATTTCCATTTTATACATTTGGAAACTAAAACAAAACAAAATGAAACAAAAAATCAAACCAAAACAAAAAACCCACAAAAAACAAACAAAAAACTCTCTAGTAATTCAAGGGCCAAAGGAAAAAATGATGATGAGTTACAAAATATTTGCAGCTAAACAACAACAAAAACACAAGATTCCAAGACTTGTGAATGTATTAACATAGTATTTAAGAGAAAAAAATTTAACATGCATTTATTAAAATATTTCAAAATTAATGAAAACAAGTCGGACAAAGAACAGAGAAAACCTAAAGAAACTAAAAGAAGCAAAATAAAAATAAACACAGTAATTAATGGAATAGAAAACAAAGAAACAATAAAAAGTATCAACAAAACGAAAAATTGCTTTTCGGAACAGATTTACAAAATGCTACAATACTTGATCAAGGAAAAACAAAATAGTATTAGGAATAAAGAAATAATGATAGAAGCAAATAAGAGAAACTTTATGCCAATAAATTTGAAAAGATGATATGCACAATTTCCTATAAAATAAATTACCAAAATGGACTTGAAAAAATAGAGCACCTGAATAAC